TATCATGGAATGGTTTCAATCGAACAAACGTACTCTCAATATAAAAAAATGCAACTTTATGATTTTTTGTAATACTCACAAACATTACCCTATTGAATTATCTAAGATCTACATTAATAATACACAAATCGAATTGGTTCAGCATACCAGATTTTTAGGAGTCATTATTGATAGTGGTCTTAATTGGTCTAATCATATTAATTTTGTTTCTAAGAGGTCAGCTAAAATGTTGGGTATATTGAGGAGGGTTTGTCCTTTGGTTCATTCCTCAGCATTTTTAACCTTATATTATAGTTTTTTGTTTCCATTTATTAATTATTGCAACATTGTTTGGGCAGCTACATATCCTACCCACCTTAATAAATTATTAGTTATACAGAAAAAGTATCTTAGATTTATTTCCCATTCAAACAGATATGCACCTTCGGTCCCTCTTTTTAATAAATTTAAAGTTCTCCCTATTGATAAGGTAAATATTTATCAAACATGCTTACTTATGCATAAGTTTATTTATAGGAAACAAGATCTACCTGACTCTTTCCAGAATTTGTTTATTCCTATCCCACATGTTCATTCATTGCACACTAGACATAGCAATAATAACTTAGTCTTACCAATCGCACGTACCACAAGACACCAATTTAATATTTCTTTTAGAGGTCCTAAGCTTTGGAGTGAGTTAAGTCCATCGTTGCAATCAATGTCCTCTTATTCAGCTTTTACAAAGCATTTGAAGAGTGTACTATCGCTAGCTTGATGCCTTTTATGTTGTAGTTTTTATTATTATTATTATATATATATATATAATATAATATATTATATTTTCCTCGCTTTTCTTTTCTAAGCACATTTGTTTGTATTGAATTGCTTTCTATCATTTGTTGTTTATTTTTATTTTTCATCTTTTGTTTTGTGTGTTCTGTTTTTTGTTGTTGTTCTTCTTTTTTTCTTCTGTGATGCTTAGTCTGCATATCTCGTGAGTTAATAGGAATAGGAGTGGAACTCTGTACAAGCCTAGTCTGGCTTCGTTCCCTCCTAGCATTGTTCTGTACTTGTACTAAACGTGCTAAACAAATAAACTAAAACTAAACTAAACTATATATGTTAGTCTTCCTAACATTGTCCGGGAAGCAGACACACTCCTACCGCTCTTTTGGACATAACAGTGCCTGGAGGCTTGAGAACGCAAACCATGAAATTGGTTCCAAGGTACAATTTAAAAAAAAAAAGTGTAATACCTAATTTTTTTATCGCTTCCACATAGCCTGAATTATCCCGATAACGTTTTATTTTTACAGAGGTAGGAGAAGGAGAAGAAGGCCTTCACAGGAGAGAGACTAGTTGACACTTCAGGACTGCGTTATCGTCGTGTCTAAGCGCAGGTCCTTCATCAGTCTGATCCGATGGACTGCGGTAAACCTCGGATAAACAGATAGACTAATATTAGTGTAGACGCAGGGCTGGATTAAGAGTTCAGAGGCCCCTGGGCACAATGTCTTGTAGGCCCCCTCTTAAGCAGGCCAAATATATATTTTGTCCAAAGACATTTTAATATGGCATTTACGGTTTTACTGACTTAAAATGTACTTTGTTGAACTATGATGGAGTACAGTTCATAAATGGTTGTTCTTTCTTATAGGAATTTGTAAAAGTATGTTGGGTGGACCCTTAATATAGCATTTACAGTTTTACTGATTTACTGTTCCTCTGGGGGTTTGGGGGGCATGCTCCCCCGCAAGAAAATTTTGTACATTTTAAGGTTAAATGCATCAATCTCATGCTCTTTGAGAGATCAAAATTAAGAGCTTCAACCCATGAACTTCTCGTTGAACAAAGAAAACGCATTGATTTGTACCAGGACAATAAACAGGGCTCAAACATCTTTTTAGTTGAGTCTCAGTCTACAGTACATTATCAATGGTGTTTTAGGATCCCAAACAATTATTATAATAATGTAATAATGGTTTATATAATTATTCATATGACGTAAAATCCATAAAGCTTGTACTATATAAATGAAAATGAACATTTCAAAAGTAGCCCATATTTTAGTCTACATTACACTATAGTAAAATTAAAACACTTTTGTCCTTTCTTCACTTAAAAGAAATAAACCCTTGAGCTTGTATTTAGGAGAAAACACCAGATGACCATGATGATCGCGTGAGGAAAGTGCACACTTTTCTTTAATTCACCCAGCACTAACGGGATGCCTATTCTTAAAGTCTTGTGCTGTTTTATAAAGGCAAAAATCCATATCATGGTTTTGATTTTAGTTCATTGGCAAAATATAACGCTAGAGACCTATGTTAGGTTATACATTTTACATCTCATATGTGTTGGGAAAAGGGAGAAGATACTTCGGCAAAAGGCGGATTCGAACTCGCGCTACGACCTAAGCCACTTTAGCTGTGACGTAACCAGCGTCTTTTTTCATATAAGACAGGCACTTAGTGCAAATATACGTTCCTTTTTATCAAACCATCCCTCGCGTCCTCGAAACACTACCGGCCCATCTGGGAAACTCCCGACCCTCCCGACTGCCACTGGTGTCCAGGGCCCCTTAGATGTCGTGGGCCCCTGGGCAAGTGCTCAGTTGCCCTAATGGTTAATCCGGCCCTACGTAGATGCCATCCGTATTATGATGTATCAAGTACAACAGGATTTGTGGGAAGTGTTCCCGGTTCCGGCTGATCTAAACTATGCAGCCTAACATTGTATTATAGAAGTCTATAGTGTGTTATGTTTATGCTAGGTCAAAGACATGTGTTTTTAGTCTAGATTTGGACTGACAGAGTCTGTCTGCTTCCTGGAAACATACAAGAGATGTGAAAGTAGCTCCGGTTTCATTTACCCAGATGAACGGACTGATATACATCATTGCCATTGCATGTTTGGTTGAGCTTCTGTTTATGTCTGCTGATCAATGTTTATATGAATAAAAGCCTAAATTAAATCTGCTCATTTTGCAAAGCAAACAAGTCTCTTCAGAATATTTGGACTAAACTTCTCAATTCATATGGATTAGTTTAACAATCTTTTTATGAAGATAAAAAAAAAAAAAAATTGTTTTTCGAAGATGATCGAAAGTTTTAAGGGTTTGGATATGTGATTAATGACATTAATGATAATCTATCTATCCATCCATCCATCCATTCATCCATCCATCCATCCATTTCTTACAGTGTCGCATTAAATATCACAGCTTTTCTTGTGGCGTCTTGTCAGCGTGTGCCCATCAATAAGACTGCAATCTTTCCTTTCCCTGTGAGGCGCATATGGATCCTTCATTTTGCTTTCTTTTCACGATCCCCCCTCTCTCTCTTTCTCTGCCGTACTCCAACAGCGGGAGGAAATGCTTGCTTTTCATCATTCCAGCCTTGTCTCTCAGCCACAGCTGGCAAATTAATTTATTTGCTTTCTACACTGAAGCTCAGACTCAAATTTAAACACAGAGCATGGAGCCAAAACAATAATATAGTCTAGGCAAACCTTGAGAAATCTTTACCTAAGGACACACAGAGCATTTGGGCACACTGTCATAGAATAAAAAAATAATAGCATTCATGGCACAGGTTGGTCTCTTTCCCTGTAAGTTATTAAAAAAACATTGCTAAAACTGTAATTGACATATTTTCTATTCTTACAGCTCACTAAAGGGTTGTTTCGGGTTGTAAAGGGTTGTTTAAACAATGTTTAACACACCAAAGGAATGTTAATGATCAAGCTTAGACCGGCAAACAGGGGAACAAGAGCACTGAATGAAGCAAGTGGGCTGTGAGTGCTCTCACCTTACAGAAATAAGCTTCTGTTGCATTTCCCACAACATTCTTGTCAGCTCTGGGAAACAACTTTAGGCCTCAAAAGTATTACTACTAAAATACTGCAAGAGTAATCAGGGCCCAATAAGGTCCTCTGTAAGGGGGGGGGGGGGGGGGGGGGGGGGGGGGGCTAAGAAGTTTGTATTTTTGAAATGAAAAAAACATTTTAGGAGGTTACATAAAACAATGCAATGTAAACCTGTGATATTTTTCATTTTAACTAACAGCTTGAAGCACCCTGTTGGTGGCTGGAGAAGGGGCTTTGCATAATATCTTATTATACAACTCATTATATGCCAGAATAGAGGCAAAGGGCACTGAGAAATTCAATCACAGCTAGCTTAGTCAGCCGCCTGAAAACATACTATTTTGAGCGCAGATGTGTGATTGGTGGTTTATCAGATGGAAATTTGGTGATACAAGTCAAACTAAGCATTTCTGTAATCTTTTAAAATGTTTTTCTATGTGGTTTTGACAAAGGTTTCAGGAACATATTTCTTTTCTTTATTTACATAAATTACTAGTCTCAATAATCCAGCTCAACACATTTTTTTTCATAGAGATTTGTTTAAAGTTTTTGTTCTGGTGATTTGACAAATCTGTGGTTGCATTGTATATGTAATTGACTTTGTGTCCAAAGTCAAACCCTTAATTACAAAAAAAAAAAAAAAAACTGTGTAATTCATTGAGCACTGTTTATGCAATGGACTTGAATGATAATTGAAGTCATATCACTAAGGAGTATAGGGGCTTTACATTATTCACATTTAGTACTGCTTTTGTTGTATGAGAGTCAACTTTATTAAATATATGATTGTAAAGCACTGATTGTGTGAAAGTAGGTATAGGTCAGTTACAGGGAAACATCAGAAACACCCTAGCATAGTGACGGTGAATTTCGTATGTGTTTGCACTGCCCCCAAATACAGATAAATTTCAAATCATGGGGTTGTTCAAAAATATTGATTCAGTCAGGAACAAAACAATTGCTTCTCAAATCGAAGGCAGCATATCTGATGATGGTGTGTGCTCCTCCCTTCCTCAGGCATAGGCAGATTGTCTATCCGGGCTACTAAAGATACTAAAAGTGCTTTAGCTCTATGTAGCAGCTATGGTGGCTTTGGAGAGACATCTGTGACTAAATTTGTCCGGTATAAAAGAGAAAGACAAATATTTCACCTTCTGGCCTGTTCTCCGACACTGTCACTTCAGTCGTCGACAGGTTTCAGGAAGCGAAGAAAGAAGAAAAAAAATTCAACGGCGTTCCAACAGTATCTCCCTTGCAGCTCTAAATTTGGATCTCGGAGACCTGGTCCAAGTGGCCAGCCTCAGCCGTCAACCAGCTCCTCCAATCGGCAAGAGCAGTAGGAGAGCATTGCCTCTAGTCTAGAGCCCCTCCTGCGGTAGCCTGGCAACAGAGAAAGCCGTCTCAACTTAAGTACTCCAGCCAGAAGGGTGACCTGAGGGTCATCCGTCAGGCAAAGAGGGATTTGGGAAATGGGTCCTAATGTAGTGTAAGACCTTTGAGGGCTGCCCCCCCCCCCTTGCTTCAATCAGCTTGCTTGGAGTTTGACCCTGGCAGAGTTAAGGCCTTTTTGTAACTGAGACTGAGCTATGTGCCTAAGGTGCCTTCTAATACGGCATGGTCTACGGTCCTGCAGGCATTTCATCCTCCACCTCATGTCGGCAGAAGAAGAGAAGCTCCATTTGCTCTGCCTGTAAGAGCTTCGAATATTTACCTCGAGAGGTCCTCTTCTTGGAGGAGGTCGGACCAACTGTTAGTGTGTTTTGGGTCACCTAAGAAGGGGCTCCCGGCATCCAAGCAAAGTAATTGTAATTGGATTGTTCAGACTTTTTCCTCGGCTTACAAGGTGCCCAATTTGCCTTCACCTTTGGCCGTAGGGCTCATTCAACTAGAGGCATGGCGTCCTGTAGGGCCCTCCTTTTGGGAGTGCCCCTCCAGGAGATCTGTGAGGCAGCCGGTTGGGCTATCCCACACACTTTTATCAGGTTCTTAGTCTGCACGTACGCGTGGCGCATGTGTGCTCTCCTCCTAGCTGAGTGCCTGAGATCAGTTTCACTCTAGGGCAGGCCTATTTCGGTGCATGGCCTAGTGGGCATTCGTTCCCCAAACAGTCGTTTTCAACGACGCAGTGCAAGTTCCCTCGAAAGGGAACGTTTCGGGTTATGACTACAACCCTTGTTCCCTGAGAAGGGAACGAGACACTGCGTTGTCCTACCACACCCTTCAATGCCTGAGAGCGTCGTCACATTTACGTCACGACGCAACACCAATCAGGATTGGATTAGTTTCATTCATAATTAAGAGGCGCATGCTAAGGGAGCGTCCCCAAAGAGTCGTTTTCAACAATGCAGTGTCTCGTTCCCTTCTCAGGGAACAAGGGTTATATTCATAACCTGAGACGTTTTCCAGTGTGTTCATGCTTTTACTCGTGGCCAAAAATGGAGCCCCAGAGTCACATCTACCTATGACATAATCATCATAGATCAATAGTAGTTTGAAAGCGTTTATCTGCCGGAGTGAACTTTTCTGGAAAGCTTACTTTGGCAAGCTGTTTTGAATGCCCGAAAAAAATTCCAAATCAACTTAATTTTGGCTTTATTTTATTAGAATTTACGACAAAACAGTTTGTTCTTCTATTTAATTTTTAAAATGTTTTGTCAGTGACAATTATTAAAGACAAGTATTTAACTGTTACAAAATAAGGCCTATCTGTTTCCAATTAAAAAATATAAACATAATAAAATATATGTGTACCTTATTGGTGTAGTGGACTTAGTGGGGCTCTATAATTAAATTGATGCGCTGGGGGTAGTGAGGGCCAATTACCAGGAGGAGGCACAATATAAAAAGGAATCGTTCACCCTTGTGTGCGTGTGCCGTCTGAGTTGCGTCATTGCTCGGGGACCGCCCCTTCCAGCTTTCGGTGTTGTTTCCGCTTTGAGGTATGTGCTACCTGTCTCGTTTAGTGAACACAGGTGCAGGATTTGGGATAACCGATTGTGTCGTTTATAGCTTCAGGATAATTCGCGGCTGTTGGCGGCCCCAGCTTTCCGGTTGCATGCCTCTCTTGCTGTCTCTTTGGCAGTCCCGTCTCTCCGATACTTGAGGTAATGTATGTGTGTGTTGGCTAATTAGTCGACACCTTGATTGCGATGTGTTTTAATAATAACTGTGCGGGGTTTAGTGGTGGGAATAGCTCGTCGTGTGGGCTGCGGGCGGCGGCCGCGCTCCCTGTGCATGTCCCTCTCGCATTCCCGTGCTTTGTGGATGATGATGTCCGGCGTGGTGTAGGTGGGCGTCGGCTTATGAACAAAAGGTATGTGACACGTCCATTTTTGTGTAGCGCCAATCCTGTATTGTATCGCAAATATGTTTGTTTGTATTTTAGGATTAATAAGACCTGGTGGGAAACGCTGGTTGACGCTGCTGCTTAACTCCAGATTTTTATAACAACTCCTTCAACACGTGTGTGCCGAGTTTAAGTATGTTGTGTGTCACCTGCCTCCAGCCCGAGTCACCGTACGGCTGGAGGTTTCATTAGTTTTTTTTCAAATTGTTGTTTGTTTACTGCCTTCATTTTCTTTTGAGTATTTTCTATTTTTTGTTATTGTGCTTGGTGGTGTTTTGCAAATATCTGTTGAGGTCTGTTGTCCTTCTAATGTGCTGGTAGCAAGCCAGTGAGTTAATAGGAACACAGCGCAGACGGCAAACCTTGACTTTTATTTTTTTTGTTATTTTTATGTAATTGTGTATGTATACTTGGTGTAAGTGTTTGGTGAGTATTGAGACTGGTGGTAATTCTCATTCTCATTGCAGGAGCCGAGGCTTTAGGGCAGTCCTCTATCAGACCCTTACGTGTGGTGGTGGGCTCGTCACAGAGTGCTGTGCTGGACTGGATTGCGATGTGTGTGCATTGCTGTGGTACACAGGGTGTTGAGAGTTATATAGAAGCCTGGTGCGCCCTGAGAGGTGTCTGCCATTAAGCCTCGGTTCCCTTTTAGCTATTGTGTTTCTTTTGTGGGGAATGCTGATGACCTATTTCTTTCTTGATGTTTTTAATGGTGTGAATATTTAAATAAAACTTTTGCATATTTTGTATCCACGTCTCTGACCCTCCTTTTGACAATCACGTTCCTGCGTGTCTCCGGGTGTGAGACAGTAAACCTATAGTGTTAATATTTCCCTGGTAAACAGGGTGGCGTAGTCACGTTTCAGCCGGTGGTGGCATTTCTATAGTTGCTCTACCTCCGAAGAGAGAGGTCCCACTACATTCTGGCGCAGTCGGCAGGGTTGTAGAATTTCTCTGTTGGGCTGAGACGTGGATACTGATTGTTGTCTGGGTAATTGTTGACTGTATATTTTATGAATGCATTAGTGTTTTTTTTTTTTGTTTGTTTGTTTGTTTCTTTTTTTTTCTTTTTTTTTTGTGTTTTCAAGTATAGTGTTGGTGACAAGCAGCAGCGTCATTTCAGGAGATCGGGAGCATTCCGTATTGGTGCTACTTGCTTACAGAGGTTGCTCTGGTAAGTTAAAAAAAATAAATAAATAAAAATGGAGGAGGAAATGCGGGAATTGAGGGATCTTGTTGCTCAGCTGAGGGCAGATAATGAGAAATTGCGTCAAGACCAGAGCCGAGCTGCTCCTTTGAGTCCAATGGCCGGTTCCTCTAGAGGATCGTCTGTGCCCCCTGCTGATCAATCAGCGAGTGGTGGTGCTTCATTAACTGAGCGGCTCGTGTTTATCCCAAGGGATCGAAAATGTCCAATATTTGACGGTAGGCCGGGTATTGGCATAAATGATTGGATAGAGGAGGCGAAAGCCTGTATAAGAACACGTCATCTGTCTGTGGCTGATCAAGCGTTTTTTCTATTTGATCACTTAACAGGAGAGGCACGTGAGGAAATTCGGCATCGCCCTGCGGCTGAGCGCGGAGATCCAGAGAAAATTTATTTAATTTTACAAGAGCTGTATGGTTGCTCCCAGTCTTATGTTGCCCTACAGGAGGCCTTTTTCTCTAGGAGACAGCGGGATGGGGAGATTGCTAGAATTTTCCCTGGCCCTGATGGGGGCTCCTAGAGAAAGTTAAACAGAAATCCCCTACCACCATGTTAAATGCAGAGGTTTTATTGAGGGATCAATTTTGTAGAATATGTTTGTGACGTTTCCCTTCGCCGTGAACTAAAACAGTTTGTCCGTCGCCAGCCCAATTCCACCCTCTTAGAGGTGCGGAGCGAAGCAATCCGATGGGAGAGGAGGGAATGCCGGGTGGGGCAAGGGGTCGAAGTCTTTCCGTCCCGGCGGCACATGGCTTTCAGTTCGAAGTACACGGGGATGGTAGTCTACCTAAAAAATCTGAAATGCAAGAGTTGAGAGAAATGCTAAAGTTACAACAGGAGCAGTTAAATCAGCTCACACAGAGTTTTGCCCGGTTACAGGGCCCCCATTCCCGCACCCAGCCTTTCCGGGGTGGGCCCGTTATCTGTAGGCGGTGTCAAAAAACCAGGCCACTTTGCACGGGAATGTGGGGGGAACGCGTCATGTCCCAGTCGCCTTTGCGTCCTCACGTTGATGCAGCAGGTGGGGAAGGGAGGCAGTCGCGGTCTGCTGCGTCGGAAAACTAATTCCCGCCGTGCTGAAGAGTCACAGCTCGGTTGGGGAAAAGGAGACTCCGACGGTAACAAGTTTAATTCTAGTCCAAATTTAATGTCCCCCTGTCCCCATTTGGATGTTTTAATTGGCGGTGTGTTAATCCCTTGTTTAATCGATACAGGTTCGATGGTGTCAACTATTACGGAAAGTTGTTTCATTCAGTATTTTGAGTCGCGGGGTCAAGAGCAATTGAGGTCATGTTCATGGTTACAACTGAGGGCCGCCAACGGTCTTTCCATCCCATATATTGGTTATATGGAGTTGGACATCGAGCTCTGTGGTAGGATGGTGACACGTTGCGGGGTGCTGGTGGTCAGGGATCCTCCTGGTGGCCTGCGCTCTCGAGTCCCTGGTGTGTTGGGGATGAACGTTCTCGGGCGATGCTACCGGGAGCTCTTTGGACACCATGGCCCTGCTTTGTTTAATTTTCCCCCAGTTTCTTGCGCGCCCCCGTCAGTTTTCCAGGCTCTGCAACACTGCCATCAAGGTAGGGAGCAGTCATCGGTTGATATGACTAAGGTGAGGGTGCGCGGTCCTCGGGTATGTCGCGTCTCAGGCGGTACCATTAAGTTTGTTGCAGCAACTTGTGCAGAACAGCTGGCAGGTAGTACAGTGCTGTTTGAGCCCTCTGAGTCAG